GAGAACACACGCAGGATCACTCTCGAGGAGAAAAGACAACGCAGAAAGAATCGCGTCTTGTCGATATCACCTGGGGAGTCTTTCTGCTGTGCCTTCTGCAACCGGACTTGTCTATCTCGCATTGGCCTTTTTAGCCATCAGCGCGCTTGTAGCAAGCGTGGGTAGAGCCCCTCTCAAATCTTCGTTCGCGAAGCCTAGCCATGAATCAGTGTGTCTGGGCTAAGCTAACAATTGATTTATAGGTGAAGCTAAAGTTTTTTTAATGTGATCTGTTTTTTAATCCTATTTAATTAGCCATTATGTAATATCCTGTTAACTTCTAATTGCAGCCAGTCGGATAATGATTCTGGGTCAGCATCAGCTTCTGGGTCCGGTTCAAGTTCTGGAAGCAGTAGTGATGGAAGTAGCAGTCAATCAGGTAGCAGTGACTCTGAATCTGGTTCAGAGTCTGACACATCTAAAGAGAAGAAACAAGTTCAAGCTAAACCACCACCAAAAGTTGATGGATCTGAGGTAAAGCAAAACATAAATTAACCCTTTGTGGGGAAAAAACATTATGTACAGAGTAAAGAGCGATTTTGATTTAAACAAACAAAACCCCCATAATTTTTAAGTAAAATGTTTAGTTGATTGAGTTAATGAAGTCACATACTTAGCTCTCATAACAAACAGGGCTGCTAAGTTCTCATCTCTGTAAATACCTACAATTAGATAATTACCTAAATTTTATCATGCAGAAGCACCTATTAACTTATTGCATATTTTTGAAGACAAAGCTACACATAATGTTGCTATTTCTAAATTTTCTAAATTTTTTTCCTGTGATTTTTGTTTGTTTGTTTGTTTTTGTTGTTCATGCTTTTGAAGCCGAATTTTTGCCCCAAAAAAGCACAAAGAGACTGCTTTAGAGACAAAGTTTGTTTCTTTAAAGCAGGAGGTATTTTAATGCAACGCGTTGGAGAGTTCCCAGGTCGCCCTGGACAAAGAACTCTGTCATGTACAACTAGCACAGCTTTTTTATACAGTCTTGACCATAAAATTACATCATAAAACATGCATATTCATTAAATTGCAACATCTACTTGTAATATTCATATATAGGCGGAGTCTTTAATTTGGGGAGGTTTAGAGGTGGGAGTTCCTGTAGTCTTCATCATGGGCACTGGTCGTTCGTTGTCTACCTCATTGTAAACTTTTGAACTGTCCTGAAATCTTTCCCTAATTTGGATAGTTGGCAAGTGTGATAGGGTCAGGTTGACTTTTTGGCTCGTCCTAAGATTTCCTGATGTTGCTATCTCTTTGCTTTATGCTTTGAATGTTCTATCTTGTCAACATGTTCTGTTCCTCAGAGAATTTATTACTTTTGTGGTTTCCTGATACTAAGGTTTTGGAGCTATTTCCACAATTTTTGTGTTTAACCTTTTGTTTCTCAAAGACTGCCTCAGAGACTGCTTCATTTGAGGGGCTTCACTTTTGATATTGTCTCTTACAGTATCCTTCTGGACAAAATGTCCAGCAAACAGCTAGACAAGTCCATAAAATGATGGATGAATAATTGGTTAATGAGTCAGACTCAAAGAGTTGTAGTAAATGGGGTTACATCAGGCTGGTGACCAGTCATTAGCAGAGTTCTCCAGGGCTCAATATTAGGCCCATTTCTTTTCAATGTCTTTATAAATGATCTGGGCACAGTAATTAAATGTACATTAAGTTTACCAAGAATACTAAACGAGGAGGAGTTGTTGACTCCCTCGAGGGTAGAGAGGCTTTACAGAGAGATCTGGATAGACTAGAAAACTGGGCAATCACCAACTGTATGAAATTTAACAAGACCAAATGCCAGATTCTGCACCTGGGATGGAGTAATTCTGGGTATACGTACAAATTGGGGACAAGCAGCTGGAGAACAGCACTGTGGAAAGAGATCTGGGGGTTTGGGTTGATGGTAAGTTGAATATGAGTCAACAGTGTGCCCTGGCAGCCTAAAGGGCTCATCAAGCACAGTCAGTCAGGGGAGGTGATTGTTCCACTCTACACTGCACTGGTGCAGCCCCACCTCGAGTACTATGTGCAGTTTTGGGTACCACAGTATATAAAGGATATCAAACTATTAGAATCACAGAATATTCCAAGTTAAAAGGGACCCACAAGGGCCATCAAGTCCAACTTTTAAGTGAATGGCCCATATGGGGATTGAACCTGCAACCTTGATGTTATTAGCACCATGTTCCAACTGAGTGTCCAAAGGACTGTGAACAAGATGGTGAAAGGTCTCGAGGGCAAGATTTACAAAGAGTGGCTGAGGTCACTTGGCCTGTTCAACTTGGAGAAGTAAAGGCTGAGGGGTGACCTCATGGCAGTCTACAACTTCCTCAAGAGAGGTAGTGGAGGGGGAGCTGCTGATCTCCTCCCTCTCAATGATAGGACAAGAAAATGGAATGAAGCTGCATCAGGGGAACTTCAGACTGGACATTAGGAAAAGATTCTTCACTGAGAGGGTGGCTGGTCACTGGAACAGGCTCCCTGGGGAAGTGGTCATGGCACCAAATCTGTCAGAGTTCAAGGAGCATCTGGACAGCACTCTTAGTCATATGACTCCCTCGAGGAGGAGGGAGTTGGACTCAATGCTCCTTATGGGTCCCTCCCAACTTGAGATATTCTATGATTGTGTGTACTTCAGTATTCCCATATGAAGCAAAAATATATCAGCAAAGTGGCCTGGAAGGACTTATCTAGGTCAGTTTTTACTTTAAAAAAACCCCAAAACTGTCTTAATAATAGAGACCTGCACAACTATTGTTATATTTATTGTAAAATTTGTGCTGACAATTCTTATATAACATTCCTTTCTACAGAAGTCTTACTATAAAATGCCAATATTATTAATGCATGTGGTATTTTGTTGTGAGTGTTTTATTAATGATAAAATTGAGATTTATCTTAGTAGTGATGCTGTTCAGGTAAGTATGTGGTAAACTTTAAAGTTTCAATAGGTTTAAATGACTTTTGTATCTGAATTCCAATTCAGTTTTGGAAGTCCAGTCCAAGTATCCTTGCTGTGCAGAGATCAACAGTGCTCAAGAAGCAACAACAGCAGAAGGCAGCCTCATCAGACAGTGGTTCAGAAGAGGTGAATAACATATAAGTTAGTAAATAAAATGTAAAAACACATTTCTCATTACTCCATAGGTTAGAATAAAATTATGTAGAGCTAAGTTCTGTTCTCTCTGTGTTTAACAAGTCTGGGTTTAGTCTATAAAAGTAATGTTCAAGTAACTGACATATTTATAAGGAAACATGGGGGGAATATTTAGTTGCATGTTTTCAGGTGAGTTGTGCCAAAATGATAGCAGTTTGGATTGATATCTTAAGCTAGATATTTTGTGATGTATGGGCAGATTTTTCAAGTCACATTGTATTAACTTTCATTGTATTTCTTCCTTCTGAGTTCTATAAAGACAGTTAAAAATACTAAAAGTTTTTTTCCACTATTGTTTCTATATAAAGGTAGCAGTTGAAGTTTTCAAAAACACTATATGGAGTAGAAAGCTACATTTTTGCAACTTTTGTAACAACTATAAAAGAATTCTTGTCTTTTAAGAACCATACTCCAATTTTAGAAATTTTTAAAACCTAAACCCTAGCCTAAAGAAAAGTTGACTTTGTGCAGTATGAATATCTTTTAAGGACATTAGTCACTGTGAATTAAAAATAGTAAGCATTGTAATCGCAAGTCATCATTACTCTGTGTGTCTTTTCTTTTTAGGCAGATCTAACTGCTCATCATTAAAACTAAACAAAACAATTATAGATAGTTAAAATATTAATTTATAGCTGTTGCTAAGTACTCTTTTCCTGAAGACTCTTTTTCAGGGTTAAAATTATCTAAATTTAATCTCTATGAGTTTGGTTTTAGGAAAATAACTTTAAGAGGGTTCATCGATTTATTTATTAATTTTTGTTTAGAAGTGGAGAGGAAGAAACATACATGCTATTCTAAAAATTTTCTTAGTAGTGTTTAAATGTCAGAGGATATGAAAGGTGAGACAACTCTCCAAGGGCAAGACGTTTTATTAAGCTTTTGATAGAACCTTCATCTTGATTTATTAACTCACAGCAGTCTAAACTATGACTATATGTAGGCACAATGGTTTTATTTTAAGACAGGTTTTTTGTAGTGTTTCCTAGAGTTCTACTGACATGGTATGTTTGTAGGCGGAGAAATATGAAATCAATAGCAATCCTGATCTTATTTGATATCAGTGGGTACGCTGAGGTGGGTTAAGAGGATGAGACATGAAGAATATGATTTCAGTTTGAAAGTGGAAGCTGAATTATCTTTTTCATACTAAAAATACTTCATTCTTTTTGTGTCAATGAATTGTATATATTCTTTTCTTCATCTGCAGGATTCATCAAACAGTGAAGACTCTGCAGATGACTCTTTCAGAGAAGCCAAGAAGAAAAAACATAGAGAGTAAGATATTTTTCATAAATAATATAATTTTTTCTAATGGTGACATAATGCTTATAATTACCCAGGCTTAATTTCTCTGCACTTGAAACACATAATCTTGGGCTTCTTAATTTTGATTAACGTTTTGAAATATTTTAAAATAAATACTCTCAAAGGAACATATGTATGATCTTAGAGGTCTTTTCCAACATAAATTATTCTATGATTCTATGATATCACTATTCATTTCTGAGCAAAAGACACTGTATTACCTACAGTGTTATTGGAAAACATTCATCATCACTTTTTATTTTTAAAGTAGTCTTATTTGTGGCATATTTTTGAGCTGAAGATCCTCTCTGAAAATTATTGAAGAAATAGGAAATTACTTAATTAGGTTGTCTTAGATAAAATTTGAGTTGGAATCCAATAGTTAATGCCAAATTTTTAAACACTTAGGCAACCTTTCCCCCCAAATTATTACAGGTTTGACAGTAATAAATCATCTCAGCTAGTCAATAAAGCCAAGTTGAAATTGAGCTGGTTTTACGCTGTTGATGAAATAGTTTTTGAAAAAGGTTATGCCTTCTCATCGGTAGTGACCTGTGGGGGGGAGGGGTTGGTTTTGTTTGTGATTTTGTGGGGTTTGTTTGGTTGTTGTTGTGTTGCTTTGGATTTTTTTAATGAACAGTGTATAGAAATGGAATTGTTTTCTTATTCCTTTTCTCCAGTTAATTGAATCTTTTCAATATTCAAAGTTGCCAATATAATATTTTCAAGAAATTGGATGGGGGAGGGGGAGGAGGCAAAAAAACCTGCTATGCAAAATAGTACTTCTTTAGTGATGAATTGTCATTCACAGTCTTTTGTTACTTAAGAATGTGATTAAACCTAGTAACATACTCTGTTACAGGATAGTTTAGAAAGTAGTAACCAAATAACCTCATGTATCCAGTGCTTCAATTTTGATTTATGCCTATTTTGAACAAGTATGTTCATTTGATTTATTTCATCTGTCTCTTGATAACAGAAAACTTAATTAAATTCCCTTTGAAGCCACTGGATATTTTTACCTGTTATCCATCCATGATAATTTTCTGTCATTCCAGCTGAAATGAATATTATACCAGTTTTATTTCTGTGAAGAATATTGAAATTAAAACAACAAGCCTATGGTGAATGCTTGATTTAAAAAAAAAAAAACAACCTCCCCCAAAAACTAATGTGAGTTACTGTTTTGTTTCTCAATATGTACAGTGAAGACTGGCAAATGTCTGGGTCAGGGTCAGTGTCAGGAACTAGTTCTGATTCTGAATCAGATGAAGATAGAGAGAAAAGCAGTTATGAAGATAGTGAATCTGACTATGAGCCAGAAAACAAGGTCAAAAGCCAGAAACCTCCAAGCAGGTAAGAAGTCTTGCATTTTAGATACTCTGGTACTATTTCTAATTCGTCATCGAGTACTGTACTACTATACAGTCAAATGAAAACATTAATATTTATTACAGAACTTGAAGACTCTTTTTAATCTACAAAAGATGTTATCGTACTGGTGGTTTGTGCTGAATGCCTTTTTTCTGTCTGCTCCAACTGAAAGTGGTGTAACTGAGCAGTCATGAAATACATGTATTCAGAAACAAATACAGAAGGCTTGTAGTTGTCCATGTTGAAACCCCACTGTTGTGTTGTATCTTATTGTCTTCAAGAATTGAGCCAAAAAGCAGCAAAAAAATTGCAGGACAGAAAAAGAGGCAGCTTGATTCCTCAGAGGATGATGACTACGACAAGAGAGTATCTCGTCGCCAGGCAACAGTCAATGTTAGTTACAAAGAAACTGAAGAAACCAAGACAGATTCTGATGAGTTGTTGGAAGTTTGTGGAGAAGATGTCCCACAGACTGAAGAAGATGAATTTGAAACTATAGAGAAGTTTATGAATAGTCGAATTGGCCGAAAAGGAGGTAATTTTTTTCAGTGTTCTTAAGATGCTGCACTGCATTGTGGTGCAATGTAAACAGTAATTGTTCTCAGCTGTAGGTAACCCATGATGTTTGT